GTCCCGGCTGGCCGCCAGCAGGAGTGGACGAGGAGGGAGCAAAGCATTTCCCCAAACGGGTCCGATCCCCCGAGTCTCAGCCCCGCTTGATCAATGACTCTGCGCCACGGAATCATTTTTAATTTAATGCTTCTGGGAAGCGAGGGGGGGGGCGCCCCATCAACCACGGGCGCAGTTGGCAGGAGCGGGGTATTAGCATTCGTGCTGTTCACGACGGCATAAATTAGGTTTATGCGGATATAATTAATAACCCCAAATTGAAGAATAATAAATAGTAATATTTACTCGGAACTGCAGCGCCTGGGGAGGGCAGATGGAGAAGATGAGTGCCCCCAACCCATCTCTGAGGGAGTGGGGGTGGGCAGGACCCCCGGGGCCAACCAGGCTTCTAGAATCCTCTGCCCTGGCGTTATAGCAGGCCCTGAAGGGTCCCCAAACACACGCTCCCCAGCAGTGCCAGGGGGCCACGTGCCCCTCGCAGGGCCCAGAGTCCTCCCACCCTCCAGGGCTCGCAGAAGCGGGCGGGCTGCCCGGTGCTCCCCCCTCCTCCCAGGACGGGCACCAGGAAAGAAGGGTTAGAGGCCAACAGCAGCTACTCTCAGGCCTGAAAAGGAATTTCAATGTATCGCTTTCATTTTCTAAAGTGGTTAAAAAAATCCGTGAGATTAAAATATTCCTCTCAATGCTCCCTTTCTGTGGCCGGGGAGATCTCGGCTGGAAGCGAGCCTTCTATTCTTCCCCTTCCCGGGAGAGCAGGACGGAAATGGACGGAAACGGGGAATCACAGTCATTCCCGGCAACTTAGCCACCCACGTCTGAGTGACAGCCCCTCACCACTGGAGACAAGAGGCAAGAGGGGCAGAGGAAGCTGGGAGCACTGTGGGACAGGAGCAGAGAGCTAGGAGCACTATGGGGACAGGAGCAGATATCTAGGAGCACTGTGGGACAGGATCAGAGGGCTGGGAGCACTGTGGGACAGGAGCAGAGAGCTGGGAGCACTGTAGGACAGGAGCAGAGAGCTGGGAGCACTATGGGGACAGGAGAAGAGGGTTGGGAGCACTGTAGGGATAGGAGCAGAGAGTTGGGAGAATGTGGGACAGGAACAGAGAGCTGGGAGCACTGTGACAGGAGCAGAGAGTTGGGAGAATGTGGGACAGGAACAGAGAGCTGGGAGCACTGTGGGACAGGAGCAGAGTTAGGAGCACTGTGAGACAGAAAAAAGAGCTGGGAGCACTGTGTGGCAGAAGCAGAGAGCACTGTGGGACAGGAGCAGAGAGCTGGGAGCATTTCAGGACAGGAGCACTGTGGGGAAGGAGCAGAGATCTGGGAGCACTGTGGGGCAGGAGCAGAGAGTTGGGAGCACTGTGAGGCAGGAGCAGAGATCTGGGAGCACTGTGGGACAGAAGCAGAGAGCTGGGAGCACTGTGGGGCAGGAGCAGAGAGCTGGGAGCACTGCAGGAGAGGAGCACTGTGGGGCAGGAGCAGAGAGCTGGGAGCACTGCAGGAGCACCCGTTGAGCTTGCCACGGAGCAGCAGCCTTGCTCTAGGTGCCTGGACTCAGGAGCCAAGCGACCAAGAGAGGGAAATGCCTGCCTATGCAACGCACCTCGTTCCAAGCAGAGCCAGGGCAAGAATCCGGTGGTGGATTTGGGGGATTCCGCAGCAGTGCTCGGGGCTGCTCCTGCCTCTGTGCTCAGGAAAAGGGGGGAGCAGACTCGGCCCAGGCCTCGGGCCTGTGGCCCCGCACGCAGCCCTGGAGCTGTCTGGGCTGGCTCTTCGTGGATTTCCTGCCTCAATGGTGGTTGGGTCAGGCATTCTCCTGGACCCATTCATGGGCTGGGTTCTTGCCTGGGCACCCCCAGGCACACTGCCCAGGGCTCTGGGGTCACAAGGTCAACCGTCAGAGGGCACAAGCCTCCGTGTCTGCTGAACGCTGAGGCACGTGGGGTTGGAGCAAGACGGATCCGCAGGTTCCATCCCAGCACTCGCCCGAGCTGCCCTCAGCTAGGACGGGGGAGGTTGTGTCCACGCCCCTCGGGGCCACTGCACGGCCTCTCAGTCTGGGAGTGACCTCCCGGGGTCTCATCACTGTGCTCTCGTTGTCCGGAGGACCAGGACAGACCCCTCCAGCCAGCAAAGGATCGTTGGCCTGTTTGCAGGCTGTGTCCACGGCCACCCTCGGGCGTGGGTGGAGAGCGCTGAGCAGGAAGGCCTGACCTCACGGAGATCAGGAGCACCGCACCAGGCCCTCAGAGCACTGCCCGGGGTGGCGTCCAGGCCCAGCCAGGAACAACCCAGGGCGCCTAGAGTGTGGCCCAACTGCCCCTCCTACAAAACTGCACCCGGAGTTTTACATCTGAATACTTGATTTTTTTTTTTACACCCACAAATGTGGCAGAAGACTGGCTGGTGTTGGCACCTGGTTACAAGGAGAAATAAAATAGACGGAAAAGAGTAACATTCCTTTCCGGTCCATCGAAGGTGCTGCCTTTTTTTTCTTTTAAGTCTGCAGGTGCTCTTATTATCTAGTGGAAGGAAGCTTCCGGAACCCCGGTGGGGGCAGCCGCTCACCACTGACTTTGAGTGGCCCCGAGAGTTAGGGCTGCCAGGACTTTCGATCAGATTCCTAGTTTCATCTGCGCCCCCCGCATCTGAATACCCCGGGGTGTGTTTTATAGCGTGTCCTTCCTTCTTTATTGCTGTTTGCCTCTGGTCCGGAATGGCTTTGGAAGAAGATAATCTAGTTTGTAGAGTTGTACATGGACCAGGAATCAATAAGCTCTGATTCTCCCGTGCACGAGAAGTCGAGCCGTGTTGACTTTATCAAACGCTGCTGCCTGCACCCAGGAGAGCCCCGCAATTAGGAGTGCGCGGGGCGCTGACTCTCCCCGCTGGCCTGTCCACGGCCTTGCGAGCAGTGTTGGGGTCACCCCTCCCCCAACTCCCCCCGAATCCGGATGCCGCTGGCCCTGGGCGCTGCTGCCCAGCCTGCCCAGCCTGGTTCTTGAGTCTCCCGCCCGGGAAGGGGTGGCAGGAGTTCACGCCGCCGCTGCTGCCTCCAGTTCAGTCCTAGCGCTGGAGCCAGGGAGATGTTAGGGGCTATTTCCGGCACCATCTTTCTTTTCTGTTTTCCTGTTTTAAAAACACGTGTTCCCTGGCCCCCTTTGGCTTCACAAGACCCTCTCCATTTTTCACTAGAAAGTCCCGGTTGTCTCCCCAGCTGCAGTTCCCCAATTCCCACCCCCTCACCCAATCGCCCTCCAGACTCCACTGTCATCACCATAGAAACAAAAGGCCATGCTACGTTTGTGCAAAAGCCCACCGGGTCCACAGGGCCAGTGAGTGGCAATCAGCATCATGGAGGTGCAGGGTCTGTGATCTGGGCACAGCTGGCCGCGCCACACCCCGCCTCCTGCCTCCTGCCTCCTCAGGAGAGTCCTGCCAGCAGAGCATCAGAGGAAAGCAGGAGAGACGCACAGCAGCACCATTGCCTAAGCTGGGTGGAGGGCAGTTCCATGCAGAGGGGCGTCCATCTACCCCTCGGGTGCCCCAAACTCAAACTCCCCAGGCAAGGTGAATAAACCCAGAGGAGAGAACGCACCACGTCACCCACACAGAGCGGCATGTATGGGGTGTCCAGAAAAAGTTTCCTGGCCCGGCAGTCCCTGGGCATGGAAGAGTGCCCGCTGGACAAGACTCACCAAGGAGGCCCCTGGAGCCCTTGAGCACTGTTGGGAGGCTCCTGGCTGTAGGGGCGTGAGCAGATGGCTGACAGAACACATCTCAGATACTTTCACGAGCTGAGGTCATGAGCTCGTGGTCCACTATGGTCTGCTATGGCTTCCAAGTCTCTCTCGGCTCAAAGCATCTGGTGACCTAAGGGTCCCCCCAGCACCTGGTCAGATACGGCAGGCCCAGAGGCCGGTCACCGCAGCCAAGGTGATGACAAGGAAGATACTGGCCTGGCACGAGGGAGCCTGACGCTGAGCACTGTGAATTCGAAATAAGGAGTCCAGGCAGGGGACACAGCCATCTTCCTCCCAAAGGCCAGGTGCACCATTGGGTGGGGGCGACACTGACCCTTGAATAGCACCCAGGTTTGACCTCGCTCTCCAAGAGGTCAAGGTCAAGAGCAGAGCAAGGGCTGGAGCCATAGTCCAGCGGGGAAGGCACTTGTCTTGCACAGAGCCGCCCTGGTTTAACACCCCCGAGGGTTCTCTGATCAGCCAAGAGTGATTCCTGCCTGGAGTCCGCCCTGAGCACTGCCGGGTGTGACCAAAACCAAACCAAAAAAGAGAAAAGGCTGAGTGAGCAGAGAGCCGCTGAACATGCCAGGTGCGGCCTGGGCTGGTGTCCCAGTGGACAGGCCTGTGGAGAGGCCCGTGGACAAGCCCTATGTATGCCTGGAGGGCTCCGGCCCGTGGACAGGCCCTGTGCACACCTGGAGGGCCTGGCTGCTCCCCTTGAGTCTGCATCTGCATCAGCCTGCTGTCATCACCAGCATCAGGCCCCTCGTAGAAGGCGACACCCTCATCTGCCACTCCAGGCCCCAGATACCGCCCAGGGTAGCGGCTCCGCACTGGGTGTCCAGGGCTGCCAGCAGCAGTGTCTGCGGGTGAGGGCATGCAGGTGGGCCCTGCTGGCACCACCCGAGGGCCCCAGGTCCTCAGGGCCAGTCCCCGTGCATTCAAGTTTCTGCTTTTCACAAGGGCAGCTAGACACGAATACTGTGAAGGGAATTAGACCCTCAGGCATTAGAAGCCGCAGGGTCTCTGCCCATCCCCCACGCACAATCTGAGGCAGGCGTCTGCAGTATCTGGGTGCCCCCTCCCCCCAAGGAACAGGGGCACAAGAGTGGACGGTGCGAATGGTCAGGGCCCTTCCATCTGGGCCCACTGAGCACAATGCATGGGGCCAGGCACGGTGCTGCCGGGGCCCAGGGGCAATGTGGCACCTCTGACCGGGTGGTGGCGTGGTCTGCGCCCGGCTGCCCCACGTACTTGCCGTTGACGACCCCGTCCGGGTTGAGCATGGGGATGAGCTTGAAGATGAAGGTCTCCCTCAGGAGCTGCGCCACGGGGTCGCTGCTGGCCAGGAACTCCAGGGCCCCCTTCATCACCCAGCTGGCGTTGCTCTCCCCTGGGTGCACGCGAGCCGTGAGCACGTGGCACGGACGCTGCCCTGGAGAAGGAAGGACACGGAGCTGAGGGAATGTCCCCGGCTCTGTCTGCCATGGGTTTCCAGGCCCGAGAGGCAAGGCGCGGGCAGCCCTCTTGGTGAGAGTCGGGGTCCCGCTCTGTCTCCCAGGGGCCACCTCCGGGACACGCAGGCTCTGGAGACCTGCTGCCTTTGGAGGTCTGAGGAAGTGCTGCGGGGGGACATCCCCGCCTTGAGAGGGTCTTAAGGCCTCTCTTCTAGGGGAGTGGCTGATGATGGTGGGGTTGGGGGAGGAGATGGCAGGAGGGGAGAGGGAGGGGGAGAAAGGGGTAGGGAGGGGAGGGCGGAGAGGAGAAGGAGGGATGAGGAAGGGGAGGGGGAGAAGGAGGGGTCAGAGGAAGGACAGGGCGGGCAGGGGAAGAGGAGGAGAGGGGGAGGGGAGGGGGGAGGGACAGGGGTAGTTACTTCTCCTTGGTGCCTGGGTTGGGGTGCTGAGAGGGGGGCCAGGGAGTTCGGGTCCCACACACCAGGGGAGGGGGCATCATGTCGACCCTCAGCCCTGTGACCGCTGGCACTGAGGGGGTGTCCGGCTCCCACGAGCAGGTGGAGGGGACTCGCACTGACCCTCTGCCCCCACGGGCAGCTCTCCCAACTTCCCTGACAGCGTCTGACACTTCTGGTGTCCACCTCACGTACCAGCACCATTTGCCGAGGATGAGAGACCCCAAGAGAAGCTGTGGCCCTCGACTCCCTCCCGGCGCCCGTCACCAGCTCTCCCTCTGCACTTCCCTGCGCATGCCCAGGGCCTGTCTCAGCAAACCAAGTGCACCACTAACTGCCCAGAGAGACCCAACAGAGACTCGGGCCCTGAGTCGGGACAGGGACGGGTAACTGCCACTCTGCTAGGCCCAGCCCGCGGTAAGGGAGCCCAGGGTCACAGGTCACGGAGGACCGAAGGGGACTCCGTGGCCTTGTCCATCCCGGGGTCAGCACAGAACGGGCCAAGTCAGGCACTGGCTGTGTCCCAGGAAGGAGGGGCTGATGGGAAGCGTGGGGTGGGGTGACGGCCAGGCATGGTAGGGCGCTGGGGAGCCCCTTCGTCACTAACGTGCCGCGGCCCCCCCAGTCCTGGCGCTGGGCTCAGAAGCGCAGAACCAACCGAGGGGCCTGATGAGCGTCTGCCCAATCAGGGTCGGGCCCATTCAGAGGCGACTACACACGAAGGCCGCACCCCCAGCCAGCACGGAGACTCCAACAAGAACTGCTCAAGGGCGGACACGCTCCCGCCCGCTCTCCCGCTCCCATTGTCTGATGCCCGGGCACGGTGCCCGGCGGAGTCCAGAAGTCAAACGCGACCCTCGCAGAGAAAGGCGCCCGCCGTGTGGCTTTCTCGGGGTGCTAATTGACTGCGCCCGAGGAAAAGACGGGCGCGGTGTGTTTCCACGGACACCGCGGGGTCCGCCCGCTCCTCGCCGGCTGCCCTCTCCGCCCGCCCGTGATTCAAGACGATCCCTCCAGCCCACGGCGAGGGAGCGCGCGCGGGGCCGTTCACTTGTCGCAGCAAATGGTCCACCAGAGACCCCGTAATAGGCACCAGCTGTCAGCCGTCTGCAACGCACACGGCATGTGTTTTTCCCTGTAATTGACCGTTTCGGTTTTAATAATTCATCCCGGCTTAGGGCAGAGCCGAGAAGGGCAGGCGTCTGCATATATATTTTTCCCTCTTCAATGCATAAACTGGTTCCAGGGGCCACCCACGGCTCTGAGGGATGGGTGCGGTGGCCGACCTGAGCACCCCATGGGCAAACAGGCGTCCCCAGGGCCCCGAAATGAGGAGACCCCCCCCGTCCCGGGGGTGGGACTGCTGCCAGCTGAGTGGGGGAGTCAGCACCCGGGAATGACGAGATGGGGACACTAACCAGCATCCCCACACAACGCAGAGCGCGTCACAGCATGTTTATAACAGTGGGAGCGACTGGACGTGGCTGACACAGGTGGTCACTGGAAGCGGGCCATGGGGGCCTCACCTGGGGGCCATGAAGGTGCCCACAGAACAGTGCGGGGGTCGGCAAGACGCGGCACACTGAGGCAGCCAGTGGTCTGTCTGCAGTGGTGACATCCTGCGGGTGGGCCCCGTGCGGACTGCCGGCGCCTCCGCACGTCAGAAATAGCCCTGCCCGCCTTCCCACAGGCCAGCTCCTGAAGGCTGCCTGCAAAGAGCAGCTGCCTACAGCTTGGGTTGAAAAAGCCCCGGAGCTGGGGGGAAGGCGGGTATTTGGGGGGTGGGTGTGATGCAGTCATCGAGACTTGGAAGCCGTGGAACTGTGCCTGTAAATTAACACAGTAGGGTCAACTGTGACGCAGTGACAAAGTTGCTTTGTTTTTTTTTTTTTTGAAGGGGGCACCCCCAGCTATACTCAGGGCTGACTCCTGGTTCTGTGCTCAGGAAGTTCCGGGGGACCCTAAGTGGTGCTGAGGATCAAACCTGAGTTAGCCACACGCAAGGTGACCGCTCCCTCCCCCCACCCCCATCACCGCTGTCCTCTGTCTCCGGCCCCCAGTGGCACAGTTGAGACAAGGACAATGATCTTAAGTTCCAAAAATCAAAACTAAAAGGACCGGGATGATGGGCAAGGGGGGGGGGGGGGGGTGGAGCTATGGAGCAGGAAGGGGAAAGAGAATTGTCCAGGAGAGGAGCTTCTAATAGAACATTCCAGAAGGGTGTTGGTGGGTGCTCGGTGTGGCCGTGCATCTCACAGTGGGACTCAGGGTCTGTCACTGTCCTGTTCATTGACCAGGACAACTGGGCACTTTCCCCCAGTGGCAGAAAAGTGGTTTCCCTTTGCCCCGTTTTGGGATTCTTGTGCCTTTCCTCTCTGCTATAATTTTTAGACACGCATTTTGCCAGTTGACACTTCACGGTGCCGTGAATTTGGAGTGACTGTGAAGGCAGGCTGTTCTCTAAAACCACTCAATCATAAGAGAGAACATTATTGCGTTGCCACGTCGCCCGCATTCCCTTGGGTGGGCAGTGCCCACCACACCTAGCTTCAAGCAGCCCCGCTGTGCTGTCTGCCAGAATTCCCTAATAATCGCCCCCCACGACTTCCACCAGCCTCTCTCCATGCTGCCCTGCTCGGAGGTCTGTCCAGGAACTTGTAAGACCCCAAGCATGGACAGACAGGCACCATGAGGTGGTACCCTGCCCCGGGCGCAGGCATCGAGCTATTTCCTGCCTTGTGTTACCATGAGTGACACACTTTGACTTGTGTTGCAGAAGTCTTTCTCAGAGACTGACCATCCAGCTGCGTCTCTCAGGGGATGGGAGGGTCCCGTAGGTGGGGAGGGGGGCTTTTGGAGTCCTGGGTCCCTTTCAGCCATTCTCATGAGAAGCTCCTGAGGTTCAGCTGTGACCTTGACTTACATCTACCCTGGACATTCGGAGGTACTTGTGGTCCACATGCACCCCCATTTAGGGGATGCGCTGTTCAAATTCTGCCCATCTTAAAGCCAGGCTATGCATCTGCATCGGGAGCTTTTCAAACTATCGGATCTCCTTGCTCCACCCTTTCCCAGGCAGGCATCTGGAACATTCTCCAGTGCCTGGGCTTGGCTTTTCTCTGCTCAGACTGTGCAGGTGAGACAGAAAGGTTTCATGCTGATAAAATCAGCCTGGTTCATATTTTTCTTTCATCGTTCGGACTCCTTTTTTTCCTCCCCCACATAATTCTTTGACTGGCTTTGGGAGGTGACGACATTTCTCTGCAGGATTTACAAAGGCTAACGATCCGGGGTCCAGCCGTTTGACAGGAGAACGCGCAGGGACACCGGGATTATCAGGTGATGTGGGGGCGTGTCAAGGCCTTGGCTGCATCTTAGCTTCTGCCAAGAACAGCAGTTTCATTTCTCTAAACCAGAAAGTTTTTATTCCAACTGGAGAACAGGGTGCTACTGGCATCTACTGGTCTCTGTTGGGTAACGGCCAGCGAGGCTGCCGGCGTTCTGTGGCAGAGAGGCCTGGTCAACAGGCGCGTGGACACGTGGATGCGAGCCAGGCTCACCGGACCAGCCCGTGCTCCAATACAGTCAGACACAGATCCAGATACATGCGTCCAGTCTCAGAAGCAAACTGCCAATGTCTCACTGGCATAACTCCCGCCACTGCTCTGTGTGATTAGGAATGTTCCCTTCTCTGCCTAATTGTGAAGTTTATTACTTCGGCTGAGAGTTCTACTGGATGTGCAACCGTCTGTTGGTTTTTGGGGATCCAACGTGACCCACCATACTGCCCCGCGACCTCAGTGTCAACACACACAGGTGCAATTTATTTGCCTGTGATGAGACCTTCGAAGACAGACGTTTCTGTTAATAACGTTGTACTTCTTGGCATGTGGGGGTGGGGGCGGTTGTTAGGCCACACCTGGTGGTGCTCAGGGGCTACTCCTGGCTCTGCACTGATGGATCACTCCTGGCAGTGCTCAGGGGACCAGACGTAGTGCTGGGGATCGACTGGGGGCCACCACATGCAATGCAAGTGCCTCAATCCCTGGACTAGCTCTCAGGCCCCCTTGCTAATTTTTTCCCTGAAATTACGTCCCGTCATTTCATTTCTCTTTTCTGATCGAGGGCCTCTGGCAGCAGCTCTGTCCCTCTCCAGGGCACTTCTGGAAGTCTGAGTCCGTTACAGCCCGAGCATGGGACATATGTGGGTTGCTTTTCTATGACACAAGCATTTTCTGCCTGGAGACTGTTACCACTGAAATTTCTAAGTTCTGGAGCGCCCCTGCGCCCAACCCGTGCCCTTGGTTCTGCATGGCCTGAGAGACGGCCCCAGTGTCTTTCTCTCCAGAGGCTCCATCACTTGCTCCTGACACACTTCTCATTTCTTAGAATTTCCTCAAAACATAAAATTTGAAATGAAAAAAAAAAACACTTTCAAAACTCTCCCATGTTACCAGCTGGCGTGGGTCTGTGACAGGAGCAAATGATTCTACCCTCCCTGCAAGCTGCGGGCCCCGGGACCA